AAAATGGTTGAATATACCTAGCCGATTTTGTCATTTTTAAAGAACAGTTTCAAACGCAAATCAAGTATATTACTAGTCGCATTTCCGGACCTTGTTGTCTCCTTGTCATTGTTCTGGCGAAAGGTGGAACTCATTAATCACGCGTTTTAATTTCCATGGGGCGATTTCCTATACTACCTTTCCCGAAAGCTGCAATCTTCCATCTGATGTACGATTTACTGCAGGATATCCTGAATACTTGTCCCATTAAACCCACTGCTCTCATGTCGTACCCTACAAACCAAAATGGCAAAAAAATTTATGTTGCGCATAAGTTATGATGAGCTAGTGCAGAAAAACAATGCGCACCAGATGCCACACATGCTTAAGGGAAAAAGCACGGACATGGATTGCCTAGTAATGGCTTCACAGAATGCACATACGCCATCAACGTCGACTCGTGCATGCCAGGCAGGTAAGCTGCTCAATAAAGCAGACCCAGAAGCCCAGTGCAAAGCTCCGCCCCCAGCCTCTTTGTAATCTCCCTACGAAGCAAACTTCAAAACAGCATTTAACCGGAATTCTGCCCTAACTATCTTAGTCTTGATATGTGAATAACTCGGTCAGTGACAGACCTAGACGATTATAGACTGCTATCTAGAAATCCTTGACAATCACCGTTATCAGAAAGAGCAGTTACATCGAGATCCTTTTGCGGGCCTTACTGGGTATTCCCTTTATTATCCAAGCGTTTGGTTAAAAGGTCTGAAAGCGTGTGATACGCCAGTATCAGCAAACCATGGCCCTTGCAGCCTGGAATGCGGTGGTAATTCCCTGACACCTGGTTCCATGCAGATAGATGCGCTTGTGCTCCCGCTAGGCACACCGGTGGTGGGCATGGTTGCCCCGTCATCCTCGTCGCTCTGGCCCCTGTTGGGGTGCTGTTGTTGGCGAAAACTGTTGGTCATTCGCTGTGTGCACCAGGGGGTGTGGTGGCACGCCTAGGTGCGGCTCCGACCGTGCCAGCTACCTGCGCCCTCCCCCACATCCGGTCTTCTTTGCTCTGTCTTGACACCGGGTTTAGGCGAGGATTGGGGGTGCAGTAGATGCTGAGCAAGTCTGCGATCACTATAAACTAATTCACGTACAAGTCACCGTGCCTGTGGCACCTTGGTGTGCCGCCCAAGGTGGACATCGTCGAAATCGGCGGTCGAACTATCACCCAAGCGCCGGCTACGAGCTACTGTCGAATTGGGTATCATTTGCGTAAGACTCTCAAGGAGGGAGCACCTCTCCAAATGAATCCTCCTAGTGATTTCTCACCACGTATGACTGAAATCTAGCAGGACCTTGGCATAAAATCATCGCTAGCTCTTTTCACGGTGTCCTCAACATCTGTCCAGAGTCCAGTACCTTGTAAAGACTTTCAACTCGTTAGATTTCCGGTTCAGGTTTCTCATCAAGTGATAAGAAGTCACGATCAAATCATCTTGCCCACTCTTAGGGCTGGAAACGAATTCAGATGGAAAGACGCGTCCTGAGGGCCGTCTCTCTGGTTTGAGTAATACACGTCCCAGCCCGAATTCGCGTGTGAAATACACACCACCCGATTGCATTGCTCATGTTGTCGTGCTAACCCTTTAGCGCAGCGCCCCTAAGCATACTTTATCAGAGTCAGATTGCTCTGTACAACAGGTCAGGCGCAAACGCACTAAACGCTGTACAGCAAGCCCTTTGGGAATTCGTGCGTAAAGTCAGTCCACCGCACTAAAATGATTGCATGTCATGTTTAACCTTGCACCTTAGGTCTTCTGCTTCGACGAATCGGTTTATGGATCATGCTGGAGTAAGGGCTGTGGTCTCCAAACGGTACGGTGGTCCGCTTGTGAACATCGACTGCTCAAGTTTGAGACTAGACGAAAAGGACAAAACAGACGATGCCAGTCAGTCTCAGTGCCTGGAGCTCTACGGCAAAAAAGGAATGTCTGTTCTCCACTCCGGGGAATGTTATTCCACGTAACATTGGATATTGACGACAGCAGACAAAACAAAACCCCGACTCCACTAGTAGTGTAATCGCCCACTAGGTCATACTTCAAATCCCATTCCCCTCGGCACAGTGGTTGGGATGTGATTAGTTAGCGGCAGAAAATATGACAGAAACGGGCCAACGTAGTCCCCACTGTCCTTCGACACAACACCGTTCGGTCGCATATCACTCCTACCTGCCTCAATTTCAGGCTGGAGTTCTATAGTAAAACCGGGCGTCTGTATATAGTTCCGCTGGTTAACGCCAGTCCCGGGTGGCAAAGCAAAAAACGGATGGCTACGATCGAGAAAAAGTACTCATGTACTTTAAATAATTCAAATGAGTTTCTTGGATGTTAAAAAAGCGCGTGCGTGAGCGATTGAGAGAAAACAAAGGGTCGAAGTCACAGTTGGTAGGGAAGGCAAAATAGGAAAGTTTGAGAACAGCAATCCGGCGAGGCGAGGGAAATTACACGACATTCGGAGACCCCTGGAATGAAATAAGAACATGAAATTACAAAAAAGAGACGATGTTTCTTGTCTGGCAAAAAAACTGTCCTTATACCATTGACATTTTAACACTGGCCCTCACCAAACACCGAAACCTTCAATGAGCTGATCCCAAGCCGTTGGGTCGCTAGCAACCTATTAAGTCCTGTAGCGCAAAGAAAAGTCTCAGTCACGAGTGGTCCGAGAACCACCTGTATGTCTTGACTTTGTCCAGCCAGATTTTGAGTTGACCCCTCCACGACGTTTCCAAGTGGATGACAGCGCCAGGTCGGAGGTAGCAACGCTGGGCTCGTGAGGTGGACAATGAAGAAAGTGTCTAAACCACCGCAGCCGTCTTTCTTGAATGACCTGAGACATCCTTTCGATGTCCAGGGAGTGCGGACAGTCTCATTTGGGACGAATTCAGTGCACTTCACTCGGAGGACGGTCCTCAAGCAGTGGCAGTCAAGTACCGCCAGTTTTCGCTAATCATTCACACGCACGGCTCAGCATCCACAACCGTGCAGATGGACTGGTCGGACGGATGCAAGGTACACGCGAACATTCGTTACGATGGAGATGTCGCGTCAGGTCTATAGACGCTTCCTACGGCTTGAAGAAACCGGTGGGCAGCCTTAATCCGGGATACAATGGAGTCCTTACTCTGCCCATTCGGCAACAGCCTCCCCCGGGGTACCTGCAACTGTCTACATCTTCAAATCGACAGTCACTAATCTCAAGAGGTGCCTTATCCAGGTCAGCGACACAGCTTGAAAACACTTTGGTCTTCCCAGCGTTTATGCATAAACCGACGAATTTTATGACCTCACTCATTCGTAACAAAAAGGACTGCTGATCGCCAAGGCCTGAAGCTAGGAGAGCGATATCATCGGCGTAGTCGAGCACAGGCAGCCGGCGGCCGAGTGCGAACTCAACACCGCCAACTTCGCGTAGGGCGTTCCTGAGAATCCAATCAACGGCGAAGTTCGACAGAATTGGCAAGAGGCTACAACCTTGCTGAATGCCAGACCGAATATCGAACACCTGGGAGAGACCGCTATGAACTAGAACTTGCGCGGTGGTTGAGCGGTAGTAGGTCTTGATCATGACAACAATTTCGGCCGGCATACCACCAAGTTTCATTATTCGTCAAAGGGACTCACGATGAACGATCAGGAACGATCTCATTTCTTCACGTTTGTTCAGTCACCTCATGTGTGTGGTTCAATTACGCAAGATCCGGAATAGAAGCCAGCAGGCGAGCGACCAAAGTTGTCGAAGACGTGCTAGTCATGGGCAATCCATAATATGAGTAAGCAAGACAAGCTTCCTCATTTTAGGCTAAAACGTTGCGCGTTTAATGGCAGCTAACCCAAACGTTCGCATAAACCTTAAAACCCTCGCTTCCCTGTCTTCGAATCTGGTATAAACATTGCAGGACTATCACGCTTATAGGCTTTCAGACGAAAGAAACAACTCTGAATCAACTTTTCCACTGGAAACTCGACTGCATGTAACCTGACGTAGTAGGGGAAATAGGTGAATACCGTATGGGTTGAGTCGCCATGTGATGAACGTCCACTGGCGGGCGGGGAGGAGTCGAGAGGCTGCGGAAAGTCGGGCAAACTGCCAGTTGTGTGGGCCCTCTGGATGCCGGTCGCCGATGAAGAGTCGCATTCCCACGAGGTGCTCAGTCCGTCATTTTCAATGCCATTGGATAGATCTGCATGGCTCACGTTTGACGCGTAGTCCGGTGGTGGAGTGCGTGAATCTTTGACAATGCAGTACATACCGGTCTTCGTAGCGTCCACATAGGAAGGCAACCATGGTACGCCGACAAAAACGCGTTGGCTAGGACCGAGCGAAGGAAAAAGTCATAAGGAAATGGGTAAACAAGGTCCAGCGAGGACCCAAAAGTCCCAAAAATTCTAATTTATCAAGACACGGGGAGTAAGCGGAAAGGTATCGCGGTGGCCAACTGCGCTAAATGGCGATAACTGACCTCAACTTACGATAGTCAGAAAAGGAACCCTCCTATTACAGCTAAATTAATTTCCACAAGAGGGCGGCTACGCTGCATGCTTGTTAGTCCAACTTAGTTTGTTGACGTATGATTGACAAATTCTTGAAATAAGTTGAACAATCTAGGCAAAGTAGACTGGTTAGGTGGCGTTCGTCCAATTAACTGCAAAGCGATCATCTAAATAAAACCGGAAAACTCAAAAACGACTCTTCGCCATCAGCAGACATAAGCTCATCATAAGCCCTGGGGTGGGGTTAATTCTTTCGAGGGCTCTGACGGACTAGATAAACAGACAGGCGGATGTCCCTGATGATGGATTCGAGTGAGAATCCGAAACGTCAGGCCAATAAATTTCTTGTTCCTGTGATCGCCTCTTCGTCTTATAAACAGACAGGTTTAAACCGATCCGACTCTGAGACATCCTCTATCCGACTTCGCCCGGCATCGTCATAACTGCCACAGCCAAGCCCTATAGTCAAATGAACAGTCGACTTAGGTAACCACCCATGTCGACTTGCGCAGAGAGACCAGCGGATATGGCCTTGTGGCGGGCGACAGCGAAGCAGTAAAAGCTAGCATTCGCAAAGTGCCCGAGCACGAGTCTGAAGCACAACCACACTCTCAAACAGAATGTCGCCTGCTATTATCCCAACTGAAAATTTCAAATAATTTGCTTGTTGACAGTTATGCATTGCGGTAGTTCTGACCTAAAGACCTGTGATCGGCTTCATGATCGCATAGGCACACAGCCGAGAAACGAGTATGGGAAATCCCATAAACCAATCAGTGAGTGGGCTAACGCCTTTGGTAAACCCTACAATGTACGCAAAGTGATCTTCACATGAGGCAAAGATTAAATCAACATGTTTTGTGTAAATTCGAGCCAATCCATGAGAGTAATCATGAATGAGAGTTGTGGACTGCAATAATCTAAAACTGCATTGGCGTCAAATGCTGGAGTTATTAGCACGACCTCTTTTCGGACAGTAAGGTGGATTACCAACCAAACCGCAGCATTATGACCTACTGTTTCGCAGGTGACAGAATCCAAATTCAGTTCCAACAAAGACATCAGGTATTGTCAGACAAAGAGTACATATAAAATCAGTTTCCAAGATATTCCTTGTAATTTGGTGCATAGAAGCTCATTCAATCGGCACTCGTAATTTAGGCAACGAACGGATTTAAAAATACTATAGTTTGCACAACAAGCAAGGCTAAAAACTTATCAACTTGATGATACCTGCAACGCAGGGAAAGAAGCGTTGTGAAGTGCATGATGACTGTGCGTAAAATAGATGCAAAACGTGTGCCAAAGAATGGTGACCTCGAGCCTTAAAAAGGTCATTAGTATGGACTCCTTTGCCCTTCGGCCCGCCGTTTTGACGGCGATAGATTCTGCAAATTGGAGAGGGGAGGCTTGTCAAAGAGAAGCCTACCTCGGCGGAGAGGTCGGGGGGCCCGGAGGGGTGCGCAGAGGCGTCTCAGCATGCGTGTTGCTAGACAGGCGCCGCGTTTGTGTGCATCTCTCATCCTCCTCATCAGCCGCCATCGATAGCGCTTCATCATGTCCGAGAAGGGCCTCAGAGTCATAGAAGCCAGTGTTAAGTCCACCCTAGAGACAAAGCAAGGGAGTCAACCAAATCATAAAAGGAAAAAATACTGACATTGCAGACATGAACTAGGAACCTTTGACTACTAACATCGGTCGAAGAGGACGCAAAATAGATGCAAAAGATGATGAAGTTGCAAAATAAAAATTCCAGTAAGACTGGTTAAATAGGACAGACATAAAGTTAAAGGTGAGGCGATGACAGATTCATGGAAAACAGACATAACGTTGAAAGATTATATGAGAGAAAGCCACGGCGTCACAAGTGAAGGCAGGTCCGCCGCAGCATGCTTGACAGCCGATCATGGTCCATCAGCAGGCCGAGACATAAAGCGGAGACCGGAAAACCATGTAAAAACTGATTAGGACATAGAGCCAACAAATTCCGGGACGGCTGAACAGGTAATTTCCCGCCCATTGACCGTCATCAGCCAGTAGATCGGACTTTTCAGCTGTCAAGAAAAGTGCTTTACCGAAGAGTCAAGGCCTTAAGCTTTTCCGTTTTCGGTCAGGACTATACAGTCATAAAAAATGACTTCAACCCTCTCCTTCTGACTGCGGAATGGAATACAGACGTTTCATTTCGTTTTGGAGCTCCAGTTGGGAGATCAAAATGGCACACGTGGAAGACGAAATTAAGAGCTGCCGGCGACATCGCACCCGACCAGACCTTTGAGTAAGAATTGAATAAACGTTGACATTCCCTATGAAATTAAGTAGGATGCCTAATGATGGCAGTCTGTCAGATGATAAAGGTAAGTGAGGTCCTTGGTTGAAGTAACAAGAAACTCACTTCACTGACTTGCGTAGTGCGTCTGGACCGGGGACGAGACGCACGACCTCCTGGAATGCTGGCGTTGGCTGCGGTTGCATCGAGTACTAAATTAGACTGCTCCGCCTGGACGCCCACAGACTGTCGGTCCGAGCGAATCCGACGGCTACCCCGCCTGTCGGTCCGGTGTCTGTTGCGTGTGGCACGGGCGCCGCCGGTAGCAGTACGGTTGTTTTTATAAAAAACGTATAAAATCATCAGCAGCACAAGGGTTATGCTGAGTGCCGACATTCCGATGGAGAGAGACATAAAGGGCCTTGCGCGGACGTTCAATGCAGCCTGACGGGCCAACTCGAGGGACTGTTGCTCTTGCCGAAGGGCGTACAGAGAGCCGTAAAAGTAAACGGTTTTCTCGAGAACTAAAAACAATTGCGGCAAAAGAAAAGACCAAATTCGGAGAAACTTTACGAAAAAACGGAATGTTTAAACAGGGGAACCTTGAGCCCGAAAGATTAGGTTCAAGTCATGGCAGCCTAATAAGTCAAATGTTATAAAAGGACTGACAAGTTATAGAGTTTTGGGTGCGAGCATCTGTCAGGCGTCGTTATTTTGTGTGGTTATAGTGTTTGTGAAGTCAGAAATGAGGGTTCCCACAACCAGTATGCGACAACATGCCAACAAGACAGGTGGTGTTTAAGGTTGAGTCAAAAGACCTGGACTAAAAGGAAGGGAGGTGTTCAAAAAACTCGCAACTGGCATTTCAACTTCAATAGTGACGTAGAATGCACGGCAGGCTATTTAGTAGCGAGGATCGACTACATCTCAGTAAGCCGTCAGGTGTGGTGTATCGTATCCAGTACCCAAACTGCCCTTGTAATTACACAGGCCAAAAAGAACGTCTGCTCGGATCGTGCGTACGCAAACATGGGCTGGCTGTGCAACGGGCTGACGAACTACCGTGAGTGGCTGTCCACACATTCGAGAGGAGTCACAAGTTCAAATTAGCGGCCACCAAGATAATCACCCACGCCGGAAGCAAAACTTGCTGAGAATCCATTGAAACCTGGGCATCTGACGAGAACTCAATCAATCCATGTACTGATCTTCCGTCGGCGTATAAAGCCCTCTGCAGCCACCACCAAACCTGCGTCACCGAACCTTTATTGGCAGACATCCCCTGTAAATATCGCTGTCATCTCTGACGATGGACTCCTGCACGAGTTCGAAAGCCCAAACAAATAAACAAATGATTCCAGTGCTATGCCAGTCTACTTCCTTCCTCAATGGCTGCGTAAGATAAGTAATAATGGAGTGTATGTAATAACAAGAGATGGACAATCACTGCAATGAGCCGATATTCGTAAGAAATACACAAGTGCATGAGACAGTCATTCCCCAATAACTTCCATAGACTCCCAGCTCTGTGTCGGATTCCAAGAAGTTGCACTGAGTTCAGCAGCGACAACCCGACAAATATTCAAATTAACAGAATAAACAAATATTAGGGTAAAGGCACACATCTTCAGTGCCTGTAAATTTGTTTGCGACGCCTAGTGTCATTACCATCGTGTCACAGCGTGTGTAGACGGACGTCGTCTGTAACTGCGTCCTACCCGATTGCCAGTCAGTTTGGCCTGTACTTGTCGCCGGAAAGTTGTGACTATCTTCTTCTGGCGCAAGTCAAATGCCTTGACAACCTACTTACAAACAAAATACATGTTCTACGGCGGTCGGCGAGTGGCGAAGCTGAAGGTCGCAGTCTGTATCCAGGAGGTCTTGGCTAACTTGGACTGTTTTTTCGAGCAAAATAGAGCAAAAAGCAACAGTTGGTTTGGACATTTAGGGGACACCTATGAAAACACACTGCAATCATAATAATAATAATAAAATGACGCAGCAAGAGCAGCCGACAAACGATATGATGAAAATGCTAATCATCAACGCTATGGCGGTCCTCAAAACCGCTAATAACCTCTTATCGAGTACTAATCGAAACATTAATTGAGGGAGATCTTCGTATGATCCCCCATAACTTATTCACAAAAGGGGGATGTGCACCGGGGCTTACCGGGCGTACAGTTTTGATTCGGTAACTCCCACTCATAAGCATTTGCGGTGACTGAGCGACCGCACTTAACCGAGACAATACGCGGAGAAGGCAAATTAGGAAATGGACAACGGAAAGTCTTCATGGAGGACGGAGGGCAAAAGGTGCATGTGGATGGGGAGCAGGAGTGCAAATCCTGAAGTTCAGAGTTCGGGATCCAGCATCCATTGATAGTGTATGCCATCAAGATAGATTGTGTCTAAAAATTTAAGCGTCAGTAGGATGACGTTGAATGACAAAGTGAACGATAAAAATGGAACGGGAAAATGAAATAGAACGGAGGCGTACCAGGTCGTACCTGTATTACACTGTGTATCTAAATAGAGAGAAAGAGCTGCCCACAGGACACGAATGTTGATCGATTGCAGAATAAGAACATCGTTTTCAGGGATTAAAGTAGTTAGATTCTCTGGTCCCTTACGTGAAGAGCATATAAAATGTGGACTGTAAACCCTAAACGCAAACGCAACAGCAGATCGGGTCCAAAATCATTCGGGAATCCAACAGCTATTAAAACCAAAACAAATCCTCTTAAAAATGCAGAAGTTGAAAAAGACGTGATATATGCCAAATGAACACAAAGATGAATACTCAACTACGTCATTAGAAAATACACTTGCATTTATACTGGCGCCGAAGATCAATGGGAAAAAATTATATCACCTTAGTAGCCATTCTGCCGAGTGGAATTTCTACAGGCGGCCAAAAAGACGTGCATTCAAAGACTGATATGTTGACGTGACTGAAATATCTTGGGATTATGCTGCATGATGATAAATATCATGACCGCACCTAAATAATCAATCCAGATCCAAAACGCATTTCACAATTTCGGTGAACATTTTATGAGATTGGTTACTGACTGTAAGTGCTCTTTTAAGCTCCGGGCTTATAAGCTTGATAAACTTAGGAAGTAGAAAATCTGTCCGGATGCTTAAAAAGGAACTTAGTTCTCATGTGAGCTGACGGGGACTAGAATGCTTGACACATCAGCCTTGTCGAATTCAGCATAGCGATTAACGGCGTAAGAAGAAACTGCACTGTTGCCAACTCGTTTTATTTCTTATGACAAAAATAGTCTGGTTAGTCGAATAGTACCACCAACTGAATCATAAGCTAGCTCTACTACAAGTGCTACGCCCTTGGCAGTAAAGAAGATCGGTATTGAACAAAACACTTGAATATACGTGGAGTCTAATCGGGCTGTCTTCCGAGTTCCGCGCTGCCAACTTGGTCCAACCTATTCTTCATTCATTTTGTAAAGAATATAATGCTTTATCAGCTGGCGTCAAACTTCTATTCCTGAAGATCATAGTGACTGGGATATGTCCATAGTTTAAGCCGGTGTGACAGGTTCACTTTAACCATTACAACTAGCAGTTCAAGTCTCTGCCGGCAGGAGAAGATAGATGACATACGGATAAGAGATTTCTTCAGAACGGAACCCCAAACTGCTGTTTCGGCTGGTGGTGGCAGTTGGTGAGGCCAGGGTGTGGGCTGGAAGTGTTAGGTCACGCTTGAGTGGCGTGTTACATTGTACGAGTTAAAGACAGTCTTGGCTGTTTTGGCGTGTTTCAGTGCGGTAGTCAGTGAAAGCAACCAATAACACTGTATGATCAGACCGTTCGGACTGTTCGCAATGAAGGTGTAGAACTATGAAGCAACAGGGCCCAAAACAAAGACGAAGGGAAGGCCAATGGTGGACGTCGGTTACAATTGTGACTTACCGCTTGTCTCACTCCCCCCCCCCCTACAGTTTACTGTTGCCGTCCTTGTAAGTCGGTGAAAGTACACGGCAACCCCAGCTAAGACTACATTCTTCAAAATGTGAGTGAGAAGACCTGTAACCCATCAGGTTGTAACATGAAGTGTGGATTTTTGCCGAGAGACAGTACTCGTTTAGAATTCTGCCGTACTTAAACTAAGATATCACCTCAATGATATCCCACGTAGAGGATCAGCTGCAACCTTAAATATGTTTGGTCACCAAGATATTTTTAAACTGGTTTCAGTATTAAAAAACCCGAATTAGCGGGCTCAGCAGTTGGATAAAACATCCTTTCCACCGGGTCAATCACAGCAGGACGGGCTTTGAGACCGTATACTCCAGAAAATCCGGTAGACATCACGTATCTACAGTAGTTGATGTGAACTCCAGATCACAGGCAGTCTAACACCAGAATACGTTGCAGGCATGAAGGACGGATCGCCATGAATGCAAAACGCTTCTGCACTTTCAGTCAGTGGGACCGTTTCAGTAGATAATAAATTCCTACAGTCGCACCTGCTGTGGCAGAATAATTCTCGTGAGTTACTCTGGAAAACGTATTTCAGTTGCAGCCAGTTGGCTTCAATGGAATACGCCTTACAGGCAGATGCTGTCTGTGTCAGGGCGACCAGGCGGTTGGATATAGCCGCACGGATGCCGGCGACAATGCTATGATCCTTGAGACGCCCAATACTGCATAGCTTCGTAGGCAGTGACTTCTGGACAACATGCAGCCTCAACTACAACCGAGAATCATGCATACAGCCCTACGCACTGTGCCAGAGTCCATCCATGAGCTGATCCAGCGGGCCCAGGCAGGTATGTAGTCGGGCTTATATTGAGAGTGGTCACCGCTTGGGTGCCAGGTGACCAGAAATCTCCTGGAATGCCGGAAAAATATATTCGTAACGACTAAGAGGTCGAGCGCAGCAAAATTAATAGGCTCTTCATCATCCGGACAACGGTCCCCCGATGCGTAGTGGTGGAGAAACCGCCTCGCAGATAAACAACACTTTCGCGTCTAGGAAATCCAATCGGCCACAACGATAAGGTCAAACATAGGGACGACCCGCAGTTCTTCACAAGGACCCTTTTCTACATGCTATCAGCACCCAGGGTCAGGATGAAGAGGAAGAAGCATGACGTATGTAACCGCATCACGAGGAAGAACAAGTGTCATTTTCTGTGGTTAACCTGTGATTAAAATGGCATTCGGCATAACCGATTGAGTCAATCCCATGTTCCAGGCTCGTCAAGGTAAGAACGATAGCTTCCACCGGAGTCGGTCTGTTGTAGACTCCCGAGTGAAGTGTAGTTAATTGGCACGCCTGCCTCGCGGACCAAAGGGACGGAGTCATATCTACCGAAGTTTTCAGGTGTTCCTCTCGATATAGTCGCAATCCAGGGCCTAGTCCAAGCGAGCGGGACGATTTTTTTCTTCAAGTCGACACATTACATAGCGAGACATCTCATTTGGGGAGAAAGAAGCGCGCAATCGACGCTGCATTCCTCACAAACTGTAGCCATTCAATGAAGACGCGAGTGGCAAAACAAATACAGAGCATGGGGAGTGAACAAGACTGACCAAACACAAGCAGAGAACGGATGCCTCCCGTGTGCAGAGATGACAGCTCTCACATGCACAGGTGGACTGTCCAACTACTTTAACGGGTGATGGGCTTAAGGTGTTAGTTTCGCCAAACTTTAGGTCACTCGCGGTCATTCCTCCATTTTACTTGTCATGAGGGCAAGAAACCTGATTTTTTGTTTAAAAGGACGAAAAAGCTGATGTGTTCATCCTACTGACAGCAGAAGATTCCGCGGGTCTGACCGAGGTGGCTGCTCCCGACTACTTTACCACGCACCGGCAAGACTGAACAGATCGGCATCAGGCCTAGGACCAGGACCAGACTCTAATCATTGTGCCGCCACGATCTTTAACATATTTACAAATTAGCCTTCAGAATAGCAACCAGCAATGCTCCAAGGTACCTTTTGCTACCTTAGGATAGCAAAAGGTACCTACAGCCTACAGCTGTAGGCTCAAAATAAATGCGTTCGTCACTACGTTCGCAACAAATCCCTGAAAGTTCTAAAGACTGCAGTGAAGTAATAACGAGTGCAAACTAAGTCTGATGCCTAGTTTATTATTCTTTCCATTACATGCAAATAAAAATCGTGTCAGAGATCGCAAAGCGGCCATTATATGCGAGTGAGAATTAGACGAACAAAATCTTATGCTGTCATTAGAATAGAAAACTGCAATTTCAACAGCAGAAATACGGAAACAGTAGTTTGGCTGGTTACTACGGACCATAAAGAGAAATGAAAAAACAAAACGCAACCCCTACACCAAAACGAAATAGGCGCCAGTCGACACAGGTTATTAAAGGGAGGATAAATGTCAAAGTTCCTTAACATTTCTGCTGCGACTTAGTTCATCCCAAAGTAAGTGACCACGGAATATTTTGTTGCCTACCTTAAAAATGTGCGAAGGTGCAAAAATATAGCGTTGGTATTGAAGTTCGATTTCTGAGGAGGCTCGTGTAAGGTCAACTATTAGAACAGCGTCCAACTGCTATGAAGAACGTCCAAGAGATTCGAATATGAATAAATTACAAGAAATATCGAGAAATGTGTTGCTAGATTAAACTGGGGCATTGAGCCCGGAACGGTCGAGAATATGGACAAAGAGGAAAAAGCAAAATACGGTAAAGTCGACCGACTTACGCTTTAAGTATCAATCAGTTGCGGGTGATTTAAATCTCCCTGAAGTTCTCTGGTCTCCGCCTTCAGGCCCCAGAAAGTTCGAAGAATGTCTTCAGGCTTTGGATGTTGGAATGTGGACTCAGGTTGTCGATTTTCTCACCCGAGGATCAAGCATACTTGACCTGATTTACTGTAGAGGCTGCATGCCAACGTCATTGTCATCTCTTCGCCCACTCGGGAGCTCAAACCATGACATAGTTGTTTCAAAGTTGGAATTCGAGGCCGATAAAACGTTGTTTCCAAAGCATAACTTTTTCTGCGGTTTCCTATGAACTCGATCAACCGAATTGTTAACACATATTAATTCACGGATGGAAGCGAATATGCGAATCCCAGGTTCTTGTTGTAAAGAAGATGAAGATCCGATCTCTGGGACAGTGGGTTTATTAGTCTGAGCTTTCGGTCTCGTACAGGAGGCCATCGTCAGAGACTGTGAGAAGGCAACATCAAATGAGCGGTTTTTGTAGTCACGCCATGAAGGGGGGGGGAGAGATATGAGTGAGAGCGATGGCCTCCTGTACGAGACCGAAAGCTCAGACTAATAAACCCACTGTCCCAGAGATCGGATCTTCATCTTCTTTACAACATATTAATTCCTACGACTGGACTGATTTCTTCCTAAGTTCGGTTATAAATGTTTGAACTGCAAAACTGTACGACATTTTGGATCCACTTATTTCTCGTTTCGTGCCCCGTAAGAGAATTATTAATGTTTTGGATGAGGTTTTCCCATCCTTAACCTTTCGTCGCAGATTGCACATACTTTATCGTCGATTCCATCTTCACAAAGACGTTTCTGTCCTGCCCTTGATTTGTGATAATTTTGAGCGGGCTAAGAAGTTGACTGAAGAAAAACAGCTAGCCGAAGAGGTACAGTTTAGCGAAAACCATACTTTAAATGTCTCGAAACTTGTCTCTAGAAAAATACGAACTGAGCGAAAGACGCAGCATCCCATCCTCCGAGACGCTCTCTGAAATCCCGTATTTGATGCCCAGTTAACCGCTGATAGCTTCAATGATTTCCTATCCAAAACGTTCATTGAAGACTCGATCACTTCGCTTCCGACACTACAGGTACTGACTGGGGCAGTCCTAGAAAATATAACTTTCTCTCTGCGGGATGTGACCGTTGCGATTCGGCGTCTTCGTCAATCTTATAGCCCAGGCCCTGATGGTGTCCCAGTAAGCATTTTAAAAGCCGATGCAAACACGATCTTCCCATCCCTCTTGTGCAAGATATTTAATCTTGCTCTTGAAACTGAAACCTATCCTACCTTGTGGAAGGAATCACACATTTTGGCCATTCCTTAGCATGGCAAATCTACATCATTTGATGACTTTCGGCCAATAAACACCCTCCCCGCAGTTTCGAAGATCTTAGAGACATTAATGAAAGATAAGATGATGTGTCACTTAACAGCGAATAGCATACTGATTGCTGCTCAGCATGGATTCCTCAAAGCTCGATCTTGTGACACTTGTCAACTCTCTTTCTTTGACTATGTTCTCCAATCTAGGGACAATGGTTTTACGCTTTACATAGTATATATGGATTTCACTTAGGCTTTTGATAGTGTTGACCATGCTATTCTTCTCTTGAACTTGTCCTCTTTCGGAATAGGTGGCAAACTTTTGAATTTTATATCCTCTTACCTGGGCACTCGTACACAACGAGTTAATATTTCCAATACTATCTCCAACCCCACACGTGTGAGGAGGAGAGTTATTCAGGGTAGTGTACTCGGCCTGCTTTTATTTTGCCTTTTCGATATTGATGTACCCGTTTTTTTCCAGAATGGTAAGCCCTTCATGTATGCTGATGATCTTAAAGTTGCATATCGATATAAGCCTGCAGATCGTGACATCGTGCTTGAGCTCCTAAAGACCTATCTACAGACTTTCGCCCAGTGGTGCCGCACATGGCGCCTTTCTCTTTCTTGGCATAAGTGCTCAGTCATGGTGGTTGGCGACGACCACCAACCTCAACTAAATATTGACGGTCACGCCATAAATGTGCCTGGAGTTATTAAGGATCTGGGCGTAGCGTACTCCAGGAGCCTCAGTCTCTCGGAGCACTCTGCCTTGATCGTCTCCAAAGCACATAGAATGACCGGGTTTATCCTCCGAAACTTCAAAGCAACGGACATTAGAATGCGTCTTTACAACATTTACGTTAGACTTGATCTGTAATACTGTTCGTTTTTATTTAGCTTCGTGCGTGCTGCTGAGCGGAAGATAATAGAATCCGTTCAACACTTTTTTACCAAGAGAATTTTAACCCCGGAACACCGACATCTGTTTTGCCAAGAAGGTTGCCGGCTTACGGGCCTTGATCCTTTATGGTTCCGTAGATTACAAAAGGGACTATTTTTGCTATTTAAACTCTTATATAATCACACATTTGACCCATTCACCTCTTTAAGTCATCATATCCCTCCACGACGTAACAGTCACTGTGGTGTCTTTTTATTTATTCCCCTGGCACGTACTGTTTAACATCGTCGGTTCTATTCTGTAAATGCAATTGCTATTTGGAATAACTACTCATAAGTGTGAAAAATCTGCAAAATTATCCTTTCTTTAAGAGAACTATTACTCGATTTTTGCATTCAGAGAAGCTCCCACATATTTTGGGTGCTGAATCCACTGATCGACTCTACCGCATTGATTGCGTTTGTGGACTCTAACCACGGTGGCCGGTTTCACCAGAGAAAATTTCTTTGGCCAACAGCGACAGCTGTTCTTCGGCGCTTCTGTATGGACTAGCCCCAAATTCATGAAAGAAATTGGCGACTGATATTATCCGATACCATGCAGTCCCTCCCTTCTTGACGGTTCTATGTTTGTCGCCAGCAGTTTTTTCTCCTAATCCCTCCAAACCATGAAAACGATCAACCATATTTTTTTTCCTTTCCCACAGGAGTTTTTTCACAGCTGGCCGGATTTGTGTTTAACGTTGCCCTGATAATTGCTGTAAACTGGCATTAATTAAAATTATTATTATTAGTATTATCATTAGGGCGACGAATTTGTTGTCGGCTCCGGTTTTTTGGCGGGGGAATTACCATCCGTTGGAGCACTGACGTCAGGGATTTTGGGTGCCGACATCAGCTGTGAGGTTCGGACGCACAGATGTGACTCGAAACAGGTCCCAAGGACAGGCAAGACAGGCTGCTCGGAAGGCCTTCTTCTGCTGAGCAAGACAAAGAGCAGTGTCGAATGTGGAGGGCTGCTCACCCAGGTTATCCTTGCGATCCAGCGCATTCGACACGCTGATGACTAATTATTCTGGGAACATCTTCTCCAAATTGGCTACCGGCATGGTAGGCGAAGCTCGTCGCCTGATAAGACGGAGGGCCCGGTTGAATTCGAAAACACCTTCGGGGTCTCCTGTGTTCGGCGGCGAACTCAGACCGCTCCAGCTGGGAGGACGTTGCTCCACAAAGGATTTGCCTTAATTTCTAAAGGACTTTGATGTTATATGTAGTGAATGACATGCCGTCTGCCTGAACCGGGTCGTACAAATCGTCTTCGAACTGGGCGGGAATAAGTGAGCCCTGGCCATTGGCGTCGATCCCCCTCAGATAGTCCTCCATACGATAAACCAGTTGGTCGGAGTTGCCCGCGCGGCTGAGCTTGGCTGACTGCACTGCACTCGCAGGTGGGAGAGCTTGTTTTTGCAACTCCTTTACGGGCTCGCTGACCGGATTGTCCGACACATTGATTAGGGTCACCGCTGTCAACAATGTGTAACGCTCGCGCCTAACTTATGTATACAGTGAACGAGGTCCGACAGGACGAAACAGAGAATAGTACTTATTGTAATAAAGTTCCTCATCATGTTAAAAAGCGGTTTTTTTTATCATACGGTGTTTTCTTCTACAGTACTGTATGGTGCTCATTTTTTTCTGGTTTGTTTTAGTCAACGTTTTGCCTCCTTTACTTGGTTTTTCTGGTTTTCTATTAAAGGACTTGGTGTTGAATGTTGGTCGCATATGGTAGTTGTAGCCGGAGACACATGAAATTTTCATCCAACCACCCTTAGCAATGTCTTCGCATTCAGTGGATGCTGAGGTTCTGCAGGCCTTACAAACCCTTCAGAAACACAATTTCAAGGTAAGACGTCGTTTTCGTGCAGCATTTTTAAGGAAGCCGAGCTTGCCTTAAAAAGAGAAGCTGGACTTGCTGATAGTGGAATAGCAGAAGAGTTTTTAGAATTTAAGGCGTAAGTCTCTTAATATCTGGGAGTTCCGTAGCGAGACGCCAGACGACCCTAAAACATTTTTAGCAGCTTATGAACAGCTCATCAAATTCGTTGACACAGCTGCTGACCAGCACAAAGTAGGTATTTAAAGGAGTGTGCACTGTCATAGCTTGAACTGTCGTCTCTCCTTTACCCGGTCTTCGTACAACTTTATATGCGCTTGGTGAGTGGGAACTTCTGCTCCGAAGGTATGCTGTATCATATTCGAACTTCTCGCAGCCAAATTCTTCATGGAAAGATTTCGACGCTTTCAGGAGGATTATTATCAAGAGGACATAAAGGTGCTGGCTTCTATTTCCGAACCAGATCATCTCTTCACAAATCCGCTTGTTGAGTCTTTTCGGGCCACCGACTTCTACGTCAGTATTGCTTCGTCTTCCTATGTTCTACTTCGCCGTTATATACGGGAACATAAACTATCCGTCCTACAAAGCGTTTTAAAAGACCAACTTCATGTTGAAAGTGAGGATAGTTAGTTATACTGAAGTTTTAGCCATTGATGGGCCACCACGCTCAAAGCTTCAGCTTCACTGTCGAAGAGGGGCGCTTTTTGGTGAGGCACGCAAGGACGCCAACACGGAGCCGGTTCTTTATGGTCTTTTAAGAGATTCTTCTACAAGTCTTGACACTTCGGAGCCAGCAAAAAGTTCACCAAATGACAATATGGATAATTGTGGTAAGCTTGCTCTGCGTATACTCAGAAATCTTTGATATCGCTTGTAGTGCAGTGTGGGAAGTACACCCATACCCTCCTCGCTCTACGCGGTAGAGATTTTTTGCTATTTGATAATATTAATTCGTCGCACACGTAACCATCTCCCCAGTCCGACGCCTAAAATATCAGAACTCTTGCCTATTTGCATCCCCAATATCTCCCCCCTTTTTGTTTACCCTGAAAATGTCCGGACTGAGTTTCTATTTCAAAATCAAATCACGAGCAAGTTTAATGCTAAAGAAAACTCACAGAGGAAAAATACATACCACATCAGGGCGCTCTTCATGTATGCGCACAATCTTATCGGTAAATTAAGCAGGGAGATGTCTACGGCGCCTGACTCGCCGTTATGCCATACTCCAGCGTTATGGACGTGTTTCTGCGCACGTAAACCCCCCGATTGGCCTATTGTAGTGTTTATTATTTGAATATACAATTATTACAGCCAATGGGAAAGTATCTTAACGATCAGATTACCCGATTTTTTCTCCCTAAACGCAGACGCTGATGCTGACTTAACTCCGTCCAAGAAAAAGAAGAAGAAGGAGGGCACTTTCCCAGGTCAAAAGCCATCTAAATCCGGACCGGATGACACCAAAGGTGCATATTCAAAATCACCGGCTATGGATCGTGTCCCCCTACCAAAAGTGAGTGCTTTTTGCTGGTTCTGTTTTGCAAGGACCTCATCATAATCACATGCGGCTGTGGCTGCGACACTGCGCTTTACCCTAGGACCTACTAAACGCAACAATTGACATCTAATTAAGAACTGGTCGAGAAATTTGTGGTAATGAAAAACCGACCACCACAGGCATTTGGGAGTGTGTACTTTATCACAGTTTGACGGGGCACTGTTTATAGGCCATTGACCTGCATTTAGGGGGCCGCTGTACCGAGTCGCGATTGTCACATTCGAGTAGCTTGGAGCCACAGTTTTCTTGAACTGCGTCCAGTGCCTTACTCAGCCTGTTGTCTTTCAGGCCTTGATAGTGTTGGCATCAGTCAGTCTTGTGGCGTTTTGGAGCCAGATTTATAGGCGTGGTCCCCTCGATTTATTTTCTTCCCGCAGACACTCAACGGTACTGAATATACAGGACCAAAGTTGCCAATCCTGTGAAAGAGAACTCCTGTCTCCATCGCTGACTGCTCAGTTGGCGGTTTAATGTGTGCGAATTTTTTTAGAACTGGAATTGGTTGAGGGCAATATATTAGAATTAGACATCCAGTAAGTCTTAGGCACATAGTTATATTTCTTAAAACCGCTATACAACCCTAGGTACGTATAGCTGGTAAATATTTGTGAAGACCTAGGAGTCCGCAATCGATTTACTTTTATTTGTTGGCGGGAGTTCTGTCTTTTTGTGCTGCTCTGGACGTCCAAAGGGCGCGCAAAGTCCCCATTTTTTAAATTTGAGTTCGACAGCAGGACAATACCGATAATATAAAGGATTGACATTGTTTGCGAGAAACTTTTGATTTAGGCTGTTGCACTTTACGAAAAAAACTTCGAGTCAAAGCCACCACCTTCCTGCTAAAGTCTCCTCGTTTTGTCTTTAGCTGAGCAAGGCGTACCTCGATCGCAGAAGATTCCTACGCCGGGAGATAGCCTCGCTAAGGCGAAGTGCTCTGCAGCAAGACAGTGATCCGGGCACCACCGCTATTTTCTACACTGTTTGCAATGCGCAGGCTGGCGAGTCAGCGCTTGCCATCCGCCGTGGTGGCGTCCCCAGCATGTCCTTCTCTGAGGACCTTGGCCTATTGGCTGTTGGTTTTGGTTCGGGCAGGATTCGCGTCTGGTCACTTGGCGCTGAGTCCTTGCGTCAGATGATGCCGCCCGACGAACTAGCACTTCTTGATATGGATGACGACCGCATACGGAGTAAGATGCTGCACGATGAGAATGAGTAAGCTCAGAAACCAAAAGTAGATCTTCACGAATTTTGTCAATTAGATCCGTCGGCCATACATTTTGCTGTTTCCCGCCTGTGCACCTCCAACTCAGAATCATATGTCACGGCTGATTTTAGTCGTGAAGGCCAAATAGACCGTCCTACGATTAGCTCTTACTCTGGGCCGCCGTGGCCTATTGAATATGGCGTCTTAACTTAAACGTCAAACGTAAGATCGCACCAAATTTGGGGCATTCACTTGAGCAGTAGTCGCGTTTTATTGTCTAGCCTATTTATCGTCAGTAACTTGCAGAGGCACCGCATTTGTTAGCTTTCTTACGTAGTATGAGTTTTACTAATACCTACTCTCTGGGCTGGAAGACGGAAAATGTAGGTACTCCGGTTTCTCACAACCTCCTGGTTGCGCCATTATCACCATTTTTTGACAAAATAAAGCTCGGGCGCCCATTTTGATGTCATGCATGACAAAGGACTCCCGGTTCGCAACCTTATCGTAAGTCACGAAAAGGTTTAACAACTCTTCCTTGGTAATAAATGCAGAGTAAATTGGTTCGCGTGCCATCTCTGGACGCCAAGGGAGGTATTAACATCCTACTGACTAAGTTTACGTAGTACGTATTTATACTTATTTTTGCCAAACAGGGT